ACCAACTCGAGTTGCAACCAGAGTCACGGAACGGATTAAGTTCGTAACTAGAGGTACCACTGTATATTCTCTTCTATTGGTAGAAATATCTATGCATCTTGTTGAAATTGTTCAGCTATTTATTCAGGCCGCAGTGCTTGTGTGTTTGTGTGTTAGTTGTATGTGTATTTGTTGAAGTCTATCTTTGTCAGATCCAAAATGAATTGGCTTGATCTGCACTTCTCAATTAGGGTCCAGGTCAGAACGTGCTGATTCCTATGATTTCACACTACTACAATTTTTTACTATCAGTCTTGGATAAAACAAAACAAAAAAACAAAATGGGATCAAAATGCATTTAAGAATACTTTTTTGAGATAAAGTAAGTTTACAAATGTGTCATTCTACCTCCTTTACATGCTATTTATATTTCTATTTTACTACTGTTCAGTCTGTTATTTTAGAATGCTTCTACTCTTTGATTTTATTTAACCTTTGGATTTTAAATAGACATTTAACAATAGGACATGTTTCTTTAGAAACTTACTGGACATACACATTTGAAGTCAGTAAAATGTGCAATTAACCCATCTAAGTACTCTGATGAAACCCTATGGTTTGATTCATATTCCAGGGCTGCCTACCCAAAATACAAAGGTTCCCAATTTTTATTTTTTATACCATTAATTGCAATATAATGATAGGCTGATCTTGACAGCAAACATGGGGAAGGGAGATTCTTCCCACACTTTTTTTTAATCATACAGACCCCCTTGGTCAACTGAGTAGGAAAGCAAACAACAAGCCTGTTAAGCTGCAGGATTTCTTTTTAAAGAACGGAACAAGAATTAGAATCTTCTCAACCTTGCTTAGGGTGGTCCTGATCAGGAACAGCTCAACATTCTATTGTAATTAAGCAAATATAAATCCAAAGTGGGGCACAGTAATACCCAATTTATGTGAATGTGCTTCTTAAAGCCCATTTATTGCACTTCTCCTTTAAAAACTATAACAATCTTGTACCTTTAAAAAAAAGGCAACATGGGAAGCAGTCCTAACATGGGCAGCCTGTATAATTGTGGTAGTCCTACAGGACCTGCCTGAGTAAAGTCCTGTACCATAAAGCAAGATACATTAATGGATCTGCTGAATGTTTGGGTAAGAATGGTCGGTCAATTTTAAACTGTTCCTGGCAAAAATCAAGGACTTGCAAGCACAAGCAATAACTGAATTTATTGCTTGAACTTAATCTACTGAAATAACTCACTAGAGGGCAGCATATGATTTGGAATTGAACAATCTCATTTCCAAATATTTTCAGTTTACTGCCTAGTAAGAAATCACATACAGTTAGAATTCTCTGGTCTTGGGGTATTACTATCATCATCATCATTTTTTTTAAAAACAAAGATATAATTTCAAAAGATGTAATATTGATAACTGGACAAAGAGAATTACTGAAGCTATACAATTAATGCTCAGTGTAACGTTAAAAAAAGATGGACCATACCTGACAAAGTACATTGAATTATTTTTATGATGTGAAAAAAGAATATACAACTTTGAGCTTAGTGACAAAATCTCCACTGCGTTGTTATTTGTAAATGCTAAAAAAAGAAGAAAAAGAAAAGAAGAAAATAATTAAGTAGAGGAAAAAACCTTACTAAAATAATATAGATAAATATTTGTTTTCTAACTTCCCCCTACTTTGTACTCCAGCTCATTTACAATGTTTATAAACTTAAACTTTAGAAGCCATATCCAAGTGTTTGTATTTGCCTTGCTGTATGATATATTGTATATGTGGAAACCATTCTTGCTTAAATTTAAACTTCTATTATGTATATATATTGTTAATTTCACCACTGCTGCATATTCTCCAAGTTTAAATTCCCAGTCAGATATTGTCAGTACTCTGTCTTTTTTCCAGTGTTGTACAAAGTTTGTCCTCCCAGCTGTGAGCGTATATCTTAGTAAGTTATGGTGTTTTTTATTGATATGTTCTGGGATTATATCTAGTAAAAAGAATTGTGGTTTCATTTTGAATTTGATTTTTAAGAGTCTCTGAATGATGCTGTGTATGTCTTGAGGCATTATTAAACATAACTAATGCTGGTGAGCAGCAGTTAAAAAGGTGAAGCATTGTGTTTGGGCCTTGGATTGAAATGCAAATAATAATAATAATAATAATTATTATTATTATTATTATTATTATTATTATAATTTACAATTACTGTTTCAATTGGAGTTTTATCTTCCTATATCAGTTGAATTTACCATGAGATAGGGTGCTGTCTACCAGCTTGGCTGGCTTCAAAGAAGGGTTGGACCAATTCATGGAGGCCATGGGAATCAATGGCTATTAGTCTTGATGGCAGCGTGACTGCCTCTGAAGGCCATCCACTGGGAGACTAGGTGGCTTCCTTGTGCAGTTGGTTGGCCACTGAGGACAGACTAGATAGGACAGGGGGTCTAATCCAGGAGGATACTGCTTACGTTCTTATGGATAAGCTCCAGCTGCTTGCAGGCCTTAACTTTGGCTCTAAATACAGATCTGGGGCTGGAAGTTTCTGTGATGCCAGGAAATGCCTGCTTCTGTTGCAATTTATTCTCGGTGGTTTTCTGCGAGCTGTATAGTAAAACTAGTGATCAAAATTCTGGCCAAAGACTGTGGATTCATTCAGAAATACTGACAAAAATGGCAAGCCTAAATTGCTAAGGCTCAAAGTAACAAGAGAAAAGTTTCATTCCCCCTGCTATCTTACTAGGAATAGGGGTGGTAGTGTTGTTAGTGGAGAATGGATGCAATATACCCTCATTCAGTTATGTCCTGCCATTATTAAAGCTGTGGCTTCAAAGAAAGCTGGTGTAGAGAAGTCAGAAGAATGAAAGACAACAGCGCTGTCAGTCTTTCAAGCTAGTCCAGACAAGAAGCACAAACCATGAGTACTAACACTACCATTATTGTAAGGTTACAATAACAGAATCTTGCAAGTCTGAAAGCATATCTTCCCTCCTTTACTTTTACTTTCCAGTAAACTAGGAAGGGTCCCGTCTGAGATGCTTCCTATGTCTCTTTTCCTTCTGTGGGCATGAAGGTTGTCTTGAAGGTTTTGCATGAAGGTTGTCTAGTTTGCATGTCTTTCTTCTGTCTCCCAAGGTCATACTCACAGACTGTTACAAGCACTTTGATGCTGTTCTTCCTTTCTATCTCATAATTGCTACAGGATGTGGCTTCATTCTGTTTTCCTGTGCAGGAGATATGCCGATGGCTTTTGGTAGTGATAGTTGAAACTTACGCCAATTGGCATTGTAGGTCATGGTTTCTGAATAAATCATAATTGAATAGGTTCACACAATGTACTGAAATTTAACTCATGGGTTTGGCTTGGTGTGTTATGTGAATCCAGCCAATTGTGATTTATTTAGCTAAGCAAACTATGGTTTAGAGCATTTGTAGAGATTGGCTTCAGTTTGAAGTTGTTTGTGTCTCATTTTGATGTCCAGAAATGTCCTTGGAAAATAGTGTATATCTTTGTCATAGAACTTTATTCAAGTCAGCTGAATGTTCCATCTGCATATCTTCTATGCTGACATGGTCCAATGATGTGACCAAGAGAAATTTGGATCAGTATTCCCCAAGCTTGTGCTCTCCAGAAGTTGGGTATTCAATTTCCAGGTAGAACTGTAGCCCCAACACAGGTGGAAGATACCACATTGAAAAAATCTGCTTCAAACATTTTTGTACATGGATGTAAGAACTTGTTTTCTTGCTGTTAATAATAATAGTTCCTTAATTCCTTTGGGGTAAAAGGGACAGGTTTTTTTTTTTTTTTAATTTCTGCCTGCCTTTCTCTGTTTCATTTTTTTCAGCAGAAACCTGATTTAATGTTAATTTTGATGTGAATATGAAAAGGACTGAAAATCTAATATCCATGGCTGAAGCTAGAATTACAATTAGCAAGTATTAATTCAAATTCTTATCATCCTGGAAACATAATATTCACCAGGTTGATGGCAAAAGTTGAGAAGACTGCAGATATTAAGGATTAGCATCTTGTTTTTGTTTGATTGCATGAGAGTAAAATATGGAATGTTTCTGAAGTAACTAGGGTGGATTAAAGCGATTTTTAATTTTGAATGGCCTGCTGGCTAGCTGGAATACTTTAGAGCAGTGTTTCTCAACCTTGGCAACTTGAAGAT